TCATTTTCAATGGATTATCTTATAGCGCAAATTTATTAGACTTCCACATAACAGGAATATGTCAAATTCGTTCAGTGTAAGGGCGAATACGCGATGATCGATTCTCTTCATCGATTTTCTCTTTGCATTGTTATAGCTAAGCGAAACAATTTTCTAGACTTTGTTCAATGCAGAGTAGTAACAGGTTGTATTGGTTAGCAAAATCAATAGCAAAAGCACCGAGAAATGTTAAATCTAGCGAGTTATTAACAAAAGAGAAAATCGATGAAGAGAATCGATCATCGCGTATAGGCCCTTATGCATGCTCACTGTCGAAATTCTAGAAAATTGTTTCACGTAGCTGTAACATGCTCACTGTCGATTTATATAAGGTCTGGGCCAACAGGCAGAAATACGTCACTGCCAACAGCTGTTTCATGTAAAAAGATAAATATTGCAATATAATACGAACACCACTAACCATTTGCACATTTCACTAACACCAATAAGCCCTTTGGCCCAGACCTCATATAAAGTGCATCTTGCGAATGTATTAGTAAGCGGGGCAAACTTTATGGGTGGTAGTGTAGTCTCGTGTACCCGAAGCTTCAGGCACGATTTTTGTTCGGAGAGTTGGTTCTTGTGTCGTCACCACTTGTCATCTCTGAAAATGTTTCGTAGTACTGCTCTCAAACACAAACAAACACTATCATGTGCCACTCCTGTATGTATATCTCATTGCCCAAGTAAGGCCTTGAATAGCCTGATACCCCGTTCACATTACAGCGTATATCACGTGATATACGCTGTCTTGCAATGAGCACCCGCATAAACGTGAACCATAACTTGACCTTACCGAAAATGGTTGAAAATTGTATATAATCCCTGCTAAACTTTAACTGAAATCGTCATGGAACTTTACATGAACATTTGTGTGATAAAGTTTTAACCTTATGTATTGTGGTTCTTTGGAAGTGTTGTTGTTGTTCTCTTCATACATTTTCGGAGAGAGGACCATATTAAAACCTTTTTACTTATGGTTTGAGAACTTTAATGGTAATAGTTATGGTAGCCAGTAAGGTCCATTAATGGTTTAGTATTATCGGTCAACTTTACGTAAAATATATCGCGAATTGGTAATCAGTAATTTACAGGCAACCAACTCGCGATATATTCCACATAAAGTTGATGGATGTCACAAAACCAGCTACACGAAACGAAAATCAATTATTTTATTCATGTGTTTCACTTATACATTTTTGCCAAAAGATCAGCCTTATACCACAAACGAAGTGACAGACGGAGCGGCTCGAAAACTTTGGTGACTAACCTGCTATTGCAATTTTTCAGTGTACCACATGGCAACACCACTACTACTGGATTGTACCACATGGCAACACTACTACCATAGAGGTAACTCTAAGACTAGAAGGTCCCGAAATAACGTGCTCAACTTTTTGGCTCAGCTCTGATACTCTCTTCGGTCCCAAGCTAATCGATTCACCCCTCGAAACATAAGAAAAACCAATAACCCCTCATTTTATCTGTCAAACTTTCATAGCGAATCAAAACAAACATTGCGTAGTACTAGAATTTCAACTAGAATGGGGTACGTTAATCGTTTGCTTGGGACCAATAGGCTATTCAAGTAGTGAGCCAATTTAAAATCGTTAGTTTCGTATTGATTGTTGCTACTACTAGATTGAACTAGCATTTTCACCAAATGTAGTAGAATGTTTTGGTTCTATCTCTTTCACTCTTCTCAAAACTGAAATGCATAAAAAAATGACAAAATGATACGCACTCTTTGCACACTGCCAAAGAATCATTGTACACAAAATCAACTTTGTTCAAATCAAAACAAAAAAACTAATCCATCTGGTGGATGATGGCACAAGCTTCCAAGAAAATTCTATTACAGTGAACCACATTATTTAAATGGATTTCTTCGCCAGTTAGTCGTCTGTCACTTCGTTTGTGCTTATACATTCCATAAGACAAACCACATAGGTCCTATAAGAATGCATAAAAGGTATGTGTGACCGCTTATACATTTCATTTGACACATGGGCTTCATTAACTTTTTGCAAGGCGTCTGCTTATTAGTTGACTTATACATTTTATGAATAATCAGCAATAGAAATTTGCCAAAAGGTATAAGGAGATTTCTATCCGTGTATGAACCTTACCAACTACCATAACCATTACCATTAAAGTTCTCAAATCATAAATAAAATAGTTCTAATATAATTACTTTCCCAAAAATGTATGGAGAAAACAAGAATTTGGAATGGTAATGGTTCTTAACAACCCATTATTTGTAAGGTTAACTTCCAAAAAACCATAATACATAAGGTTTAAACTTTATCACACAAACGTTCATGTAAAGTTCCATAACCATTTCAGTTAAAGCTTAGCAGGGATTATAAACAATTTTTAACCATTTTTGTTAAGGTAAAGTAATGGTTTGCATTTATGCGGGCACTCATACCAACAATCAATACGAAACTAACGATTTTAAATTGGCTCACCACTTTAGTAGCCTATTGGTCCCAAGCAAACGATTAACGTACCCTATTCTAGTTGAAATTCTATTACTACACTATGTTTGTTTTGATTCGCTATGAAAGTTTGACAGATAACATCAGGGGTGTGTGGATTCATGCAGAACATGCAGGGGTGAGTGAAATAGCTTGGGACTGCTTGGGACCGTTGTTCTGGTACTGAGTGAGCCAAAAATAATAATGATTTTCTTCGGGACCCAGTGGTCTTAGAGTTACCTCTATGCTCATACATCTAGTTTTCACTGGAAATCCTATGTATGAGTGCTCATTGCAAGGCAGCCTATATTACGTGATATAGGCTGTAATGTGAACGAGATATAAAAAAACTCTAGTAAAATTATGGACGGCTGTCACTAGAGTCGGTGTATAATGAGTCACGCCAAGAGAAAAACAGTTGAACTCGCATCACGGTTTTTGAAAGATTCCCATTCTTTTCACTTGGCAACAGAGGACTTCTACAACAACTTCACATGACTTCTAGCGAGAGAAAAAAAAATGCGGCTGTAGTAAATCATTATATCAGTGATTTTGTCAAATTATCTTAACAAAAATTAGTAGAAATTCTCATTACTGATCATTACCGAACGTATCCCATGACAGTTTAATGCTCACTGCGTGTTTATGCACATTTCTTCGATTATATTTTATATGTTATTGCAATACCTTTCGTGGACCTTTCATAGCATCGTAATGATTGTTTACTTTGTCCGATAGGTAGCCGGTTTGACGGTTCAATAGGTAGACTTGGCTTCACTCTTGGCGTGACTCATTATACACCGACTCTAGCTGTCACCACAAAACTAAAAAAAGTTGTTCCAATCGAGCAGGGCAATGCATTTTGACGGTTCGCTTGGAACAACTTTTGGCAGACCATACTCTTACTTAGAGGACTTTAGGATATCCGGAGCCCTTTCATAATTAACATGTCTTAAAAGCTTTCATGATTAACATGTCAAGTCAGACTAATATCACAAACGAAGTGACAGACGACTAACTGGCGAAGAAATCCATTTAAATAATGTGGTTCACTGTAATAGAATTTTCTTGGAAGCTTGTGCCATCATCCACCAGATGGATTAGTTTTTTTGTTTTGATTTGAACAAAGTTGATTTTGTGTACAATGATTCTTTGGCAGTGTGCAAAGAGTGCGTATCATTTTGTCATTTTTTTATGCATTTCAGTTTTGAGAAGAGTGAAAGAGATAGAACCAAAACATTCTACTACATTTGGTGAAAATGCTAGTTCAATCTAGTAGTAGTGTTGCCATGTGGTACAATCCAGTAGTAGTGGTGTTGCCATGTGGTACACTGAAAAATTGCAATAGCAGGTTAGTCACCAAAGTTTTCGAGCCGCTCCGTCTGTCACTTCGTTTGTGCTAATACCCTGGACAGACTATGGCTTATATCATGTAATATAGGCTATCTTGCAATGAGCACTCATACATAGGATTTCCAGTGAAAACTAGATGTATGAGTGCTCATTGCAAGACAGCTTATATTACATGATATAAGCCATAGTCTGTCCAGGGTATTATGTGTGGATTTTTTTAATACCCCGTTCACATTACAGCCTATATCACGTAATATAGGCTGTCTTGCAATGAGCACTCATACATAGGATTTCCAGTGAAAACTAGATGTATGAGTGCTCATTGCAAGACATCGTATATCACGTGATATACGCTGTAATGTGAACGGGGTATAAGGATATTCTGAAAATTTGAAGATAGGTTTAGATCGTTGTTTACCACGAATATCAATTAGTGGTCTCCAAGTAAAGATGCTTTTCTAGTTAAGCTCATTTTGTTTCCTATACACAGCAAAAAAAGTTGTTGAATATTACATCGAAACTGATGCAACCAGGTCAATCCATCGGTTGTGTAATATCACATTGTACAATGTACATCGATTTTGCGAACAAAATTACATCCATTGATGTAATATTGTATCTGATTTTTGCTATTACATCATTATTTCATACATCAGCTGGAATTACGTTGATCGATATTACATTTTTTTTTGCTGCGTAATTAAAAAAATGGCTAAAATAGTATAAGACGAGGTATAATAACCCGTTCACATTACAGCCTATATCACGTAATATAGGCTGCCTTGCAATGAGCACTCATACATTGGATTTCCTGTGAAAACTAGATGTATGAGAGCTCATTGCAAGACAGCGAATATAGCGTGATATACGCTGTAATGTGAACGGGGTATAAGATAATGATAAATCTCGATTACTTTTTCAAAGCGACGTATCAGCTTTTGTAAACAATGCATTTGATCGTCGATTTGGCATAACTGGTAGCTCGCCCACGCATGCTAACACTAACATCAGATAGGGAAATAATAACGATTTTTTTAAACCTTCAATACCAATAAGTTTGCGAACAATCTGGCAACGCTGATGTCACCTTTCAAAGTCAGGTACTTTGTTGTTCTGTCAAACTGATATTTCGAAATGGTTTCGGTGTGCGGTATCGAGTGCGGCATACTTTGAAGATAAGCCTTCATTTCCAAAATGGTAATTATGAAATAGTTATATTCTAAATAATCGGTGCTCTATGTTTTCTATTGATTTTTAGTACTCACTACTGCATAAAGAAGAAACTGCTCACGAAGAAAGCATTTGGTCATGTTCGTGGGGTAGAGTGACAGCAGATGACGAACATGGCAAAGAAAGTGATGGTGATGCCGACAATTCCCGCGACTCAGCAGGGAATCAGAAAAATAGCGGTGAATTCCGAGATTTTGTCGTTACGGGTGGACTAGATGATCGTGTAAAAGTTTGGGATGTAAAACCTGATAACAAATTAAAACTTAGAAACACATTCACTGGACATTCTCTCGGTGTTGTATCTGTTGACGTGAGCAGTAATGGGAAAGGTATGTTGAACTCAATCATAGAAGAAGACAGTAGATTTTTGAACTTTACATTAATATTTTTAGTTATTGCCAGTAGCTCTCTCGATTCCGGATTATGCATCTGGAAAGCAGAATCTGGCCAATTGCTGAACCAGATTTCTCTTGGACCTGTAGATTTGTGGACTGTGGCTTTTTCTCCGTGCGACAAGTACATAATATCTGGATCGCATGAGGGTAAAATTTCTCTGTACAGCGTTGAGACCGGAAAACCAGAGCAAGTCCTGGATCCTCAAAATGGAAAATTTACGCTCAGTATTGCCTATGTAAGTATGTCCATTCGATTCCATCGTGAAAGATAAGTACAAATGATTATTATTTTTTGTTTAGAGTCCGGATGGTAAATACATTGCCAGTGGTGCAATCGACGGAATTATCAATATTTTCGACGTAGCAGCGGGAAAAGTAGCACAGACTCTTGAAGGTCACGCGATGTCGGTTCGTAGCCTATGTTTCTCACCAGATTCTCAAATGCTGCTAACTGCTTCTGATGATGGACACATGAAACTTTACGATGTCGCTCATTCTGATGTAGTAGGAACTCTGTCAGGACATTCGTCATGGGTCCTATCAGTTTCATTCTCTGGGGACGGTAAGAGTTTCGCATCATCATCAAGTGATAAGACCGTCAAAGTTTGGAATGTTGCTGAACGTCAATGTTTGCACACCTTCAATGATCATCAAGATCAAGTGTGGGGCGTTAAGTATAGTCCTGATAGTTCGAAGGTTATATCGGTTTCAGAAGACAAAAGTGTTAATCTCTACGACTGTCCACCTAATATCATATGAACAGAAAATAAATAAAAGGATTGACAACATTTATATTTTATTCAATGGATTTATTTGCTGAAGGTTTCAGCAGTTTTCTTTTTTCGATAACTTTTTCGGGCAAGTGCAATTCAAACGTCTTAAAATGATGCAAAATATTTTGAACAAGCGATTCTTTCATACCGTAATCGTTCGATATTTTACTACAAGTCCATGTGTTAGGCTCTGTGTGATGCTTAGAGATGAATTCTATCGCTTGTCGTAGCGTGCAGTGACCCTTCGAAATCTTTTGAGGCTCCAAGTGTCCAAATTCGAATTCTTCGTTAGTGGATCGGTTCAAAGGTAGTGGTTTGCTGGAGTCTTTGTGGGCAGCTTCATTATTTATCTGAAATGAAATAAGAAATTGGCATTGCACACCTTCAAAAATCAACAGTGATCTGTCAGGCTGCCCATTTACTACGGAGACAGCTACCACTATTCCCTTACTACGTTCAAAACGGACGCTGAATTAAATCATCTAATCCATTTAGACAATCTATAGCTCTTAATATATACATACCGTGTCAGTCGACGTAACGAACACTTGCTTCAAATGGTCATCCAAAGGTTGGTTTTTTTTATTTAACTCCTGGATCAATTCCGGGTTTTCTGAAAATTTGTAATCAATTTTTAGCTTAACGAGTATTTTGCGGCAACAGAAATTTATCTAGGCGCTGTTAAGGGAAATAGGTAGTTTTGTTTTAATAGTCACGCAATACTACTTTTAAACATAATACAAAATTGAATACATAATTATGATGGTTTCAGTACATACCGTCAAGAACTCTCTGTAGATCTTTCAAGTTCGATTGAAATGTAGGAGCTGGTTTTGGTTTTGATTGAGATATCACTTTCTCAGCGCGACTTTCGATGTTGAATCTATTTACCTGACGAGCAGCGATAGATAGAACTTTTCCCATGTTAAATTATATTTAAGATTATGTTGCCACTGTGCAAGTTTTTAAAATGAGAATGAAAAAAATCAATAATTATTATTATGAATATACGTATTGCACAACTGCACACAGTATCGTTGCCGGTTAAAAGCAATGAATACAGAGAGGTGAAGCAGATCGTGAAATATGATTGTATTAGTAAACCAAAAATATCAGTGCTAACATTTGAAAACGGCACAAAAGCCATTTGTAAACACATGGTTTGTGGGCCCTTTACTCACTACTTGAAGTACACCCACGCGACACAACAGCAACATCGGGTAGGGGAAATTTTCCCCTTCCTGACGATGCTGTTGGTTTGCGTGGGCGTTCTTCGGGTAGCGAGTAAAGGGCCCACAAACCATTTGTTTACAAATGGCTTTTGCGCCGTTTTCAAATGTTAGCACTGAATATTACCGTAAACGCAAGTACTGACGGAACTAACAATTATTGCTTGTATCGTACCTTTGTGATTTACCTATAGGTGAGACACTGCCTTTTACGAATGTTTAATATGCGGGCAAACTTTATGGGTGGTAGCGTGGTAGTGTGGTCCCGTGTACCCGAAACTTCAGGCACCGTAGACAATAAAGTTGCTACGTCACAATCACCATTTTTGTTCGGAGAGTTGGTTCTTGTGTCGTCACCACTTTTCATCTCCGAAAATGTTTCGTAGATTGCTCTCAAACACAAACAAACACTATCATGTGTAACTTCTGTATGTATATTTCATTCACGGTGTTTCGCGAAAACCCATTAATGGGTATAAAAATACCCATTTCTGCTAATAGTGCCCCTCCTCATTTAATGGGTAAACTATGGTTTACTCATAAATGGATAAATGGGTGGTCTGTCAATGAATGGGTGTTTTTTCACCCATTTTCTAAAATTGTGTTTACCGTAAAATGGGTGAAAAATACCCATTTTTACAAATAGAGGATGCAAGCGCTCGTTTGTGTAAAAAACTTTCTTATACATTGAAAATACATGCAGGTGTTTCGCTCAAATTATACACGAAATATTATAATACCATATTGGATAATTTGTATTGACTTATCCGTTTTCGGGTTTCTTGACAGATAATCCGTGGGCTAACTGTCAAAAAACCTGAAAACGTATCTATTGTGCGCCGGCCTTAAGCCTCTCCAACGTTTCGGATTCTAACATTTTCCGGAGATCGTATATTTTCGCTAAATATATGCAGCGGATAGTAACTGTTTGCATTCCCAATGAATCGGTGACAGAAATGAGACGATGAAAATTCGAAGTGTTTTTTCACCCATTAGTGGGTAAAATATACCCATTATTCAAACGTTAACTGATTCTTTGAATGGTTATTTTTTCACCCATTTTATGATTTCAAAAATCCCCCCCTTTTTTGACAGCTGTATACATGGTTTGAAAATGGGTATTTTTTACCCATTAATGGGTTTTCACGAAACACCGTGTTGGTATCGTACAGGGGTTTTACTCACACAACTTACCCGATTGCTTCACCTCGGTAATCACCTTCCTTGGGTTAAAAGGGCTATTCTGGAGTGCACATTGAATAAGTCGTATGTAAAAAAGTAAACGAATGTCAATTTAATTAAAGAGCTTAAATTTATATACATAAAGCCGATATAAGCCTGGTACGCAGCTAAAAAGAAAACGGAAAAGTAATTTTTGATAAATATTCCCAAAAGTAAATTAAGAGATGAACTAGCCCCAGGCTAAAAATCTCTATAATAAAGACTAAAAAAAAAAAAAAAAACCAAAAGTAAATTTGACAGCTATAGGGAGGTGTATTTTGCTAAATTTTGAGATCATAGGTAGGCGTCGTCTAATTTTAAAATCAACAATTATCAATTTTTATGTTGTTAAAATGCATCCAAAACATCATTTTTACAACAAACGTTAAAATTACCTAACGGAATAATTGGTCAGACCATTATTCCGTACGAAAATGAAATTGCATTCAGAATGCGCCACCTTCATATCGATCACGATACTAATGTAATCGATCTTTCCTTTACCGATTTCTTTTGAACTGCGTACTGGGTCAAGAAATGCTAATTAAAAGAAATTTCTTTAGCATTCCGTGTCCTATCCCGTAGCACGTAAAAACGTCATTACTTTTCAGCTGCGTACCAGGCTATACACGGTAACCAGCGTAAACACATTAATGTGTAAAATTTCACACGTTTCGTGAAAAAGGGGCCTACTCATAAAATGTGTAAACTGCGTTTACATATTTATGTCAGAGAGAATAGGTAGAGAGGCGAAGAGTGTGAAGCAAAAAAAACCTTATCGAACCGTCAAACTGGTATCACAGGAGTGGAACTATGGATCAGAAAGTGGCTCCACTTGTCATTTGCCAACACTAGCGCACCTAGCGGTAGAAGGCATCTTCTGCCTGCAGTTAAGATAGGCAGCATGCTATGATAGTATGCGTGCACATAGAAAGCCGGTGTGTAACGCTACCACAACACATCGCTTGTTGAGCAGAAAAACGAACACTTTTTGATTCACCGATTTGTTCGCACTTCTCCTTCTGTTCTGTGCTGGTATCCTATCGAACAAAATAAACAAAAGTTGATGTTCCCCAATTTGGTGAAGCCAAGTATTGTAATCGCTGCGAATATACTATTCTCTCTGGTTGAAAAAAGTCACTTGAAGTGTGCCCTTCAGAAACAGTTGCCAGAACTTGTAGGATGGAATCATAATAAAAAGAGTGCTGCCGTTTCCACGGTTTTTCACTCTTACCCTCTCTACCTATTCTCTCTGATTTATGTGTAAACCCAGTAAACGTCAATAGAAGTGTACACAGAAAAAAAAAAGTTGTTGAATATTACATCCAAACTGCTGCAACCAGGTTGTGTAATATAAAGTTGTACGATGTACATCGATTTTGCGAACAAAATTACATCCATTGATGTCATATTGTACACACAAAAAATAAACGTTAATAAAATTTAAAAAAAAAACCGTTGGTAGAATTAAAAGTTTGCATTGGTTCTTTTTGGTAGAAAGTCAGAAACTTTCAATTGCAAAAGACATGAACAGTTAAAATAAAAATGCTGAATCCTTTGATGTTAAAAGTCACAACTTTTATGATTAAATTTTGGAAATGTCAAATTAAAAGTTTCTACTTTTCAAATGAAATTGTAGAACTGTCAATGAAAGCGTAGTTAAGCAAATTAAATTTTATTTCTTTTTAAACATAAAGTTCATTGTTTTGATTTTTACGTACATATATTATTTTAATATAAAACTAACAAAAAACAATTTAAAAATATTTAATTGTGGAATTGTCCGTCATCATCGTCAGCATCCGTTTAGCCGTTCATGTGCAATCCACTCCCCCTGCTTCAACCCTAAACTGTGATGCTACTGTTTCAACCAGTTTAGAGTCCGGTGTGGTCCAATCCGGAACGATGATCATACTTTTGACTGATGCTGAAATTTCCGAAAAGAAAGTGATTCTGTTATCGTAAAAAACTTTGTAGTCTGAACAAGGCATTATCGTAGATATACTTACCATATTCCTCCTGTGGTATCACCGTATTTCGTTTATATTTTCAACCGGTCTAACTCACGGATGATCCGGTGAATGCAGCAGGGATTTGTTTTCGAAAATTGGTCGATAGAAATTAATTAAACAAGCTTTCAATTCTTGTTTTGCGCGTTTTTATTTTTATTTACTCACGTTATTCAAAAACAAACCAGAAACGAGTAGAAACCTACCCCCGAAGAAGTTGTTTTGCCAGTAACACAATTTTTTATTTGAAAATCTGCACATCAAAACATCTATTTTTGGATTCAAAATAACCTTGTTGTTTCAAATATTTTCATAGTTCAAGTAACGAATTTTTGGGCACTTTTAAATTGATAGGTTAATATTTTTACTGATACAATTTTTGTTTTTTGTGTGTATCTGCTTTTTGCTATAGAGCTTTTTGACGTTTAAGCGGCGCACACTACTGGAACATTTAAATCGAACGAGGGCGAGCAAGAGGGAAACAGATTAGTGGGAAAACAAACCGTCAATTCATTGATGTGCGCTAGATAGAGAAGGACGATTAAACGTCAAAAAGGTCTATTACATCCTAGGGGCAAGACAGCTGTACTCAGAGTAAATATATTTGCAGCGAGTAAATTATAGTTACTCACATTTACATCTGCCAGCATATTTGGTTTTCAATACAAACACAGTTTTAAGTATTGAAAGATCCAAGGCAGACTAGGGATCGCTTGGTTAAAGCGTTGAAGATTTTTGATGATGTGGTGGTGTTATTTCAGGACTATACCTGTTGGTACTCGACCAGAGATTTGAGAAATTTCTGCCCTGTGAACAGAAATAGCATATCTCGCACAGTATATAAAAGATCCCTCTTGTCTTGTTGAACTAATTTCGGACGTGAGGACATCCAACATCAATATTGAGGTATATCGTCACAAGTACAACAATGTTCAAAAGTTTCAATAACGTGTAACTATTCGTTTGTACTGGCAAGTGCAGTAGTAAAAAACCCCCCGAGCTGGGGCTCAGGGTCAGCTTATTACTTGGTAGTCCAAGGGACACCGTGGACAAGATGTGCAGGAGTATAAACTGAAAGATATGGTTTGGCGGGGAAACTATGGTATTTACTATGAAAAGACTATCTATTTTGATATATAGGTTAGTTTTATTGGGCAATATACTGTTGGTGTGGGATTTTCTTCGGTACCTTGCTGCTGATGCCGACGATCTATAGCTATAGCGACGTTCTGCAAATACTCGCTGCTACATTTCCAACGTCTCTTTGGATTTTTTCCCAAAAGTAATCCTGCGTGAGTGGAATAATAATTTAATATTCTGCACTTTTGGAATATTACGAATTTTCAAACATAGTACGAATAACACCATTCTTATGTTGAATAGTTCAATGAATGAAATAGATTATAAGTTTCCATTTTCACCATTGAAAACTGGAATGCACTTTGCTTGACAGCATCGGTTTCAACATTGTTTTCAATATAACAATCAGGTTGCTATGTGTATAAGATATTGAGCAACGAGAGTTACTCAGAGTTACTTAAAATTAACTCCTAGTTTACTCATAATCGAAAGCTGTCTTACCCCCAGATTACATCATTATATCATACATCAGCTTGAATTACATTGATTGATATTACATTTTTTTGTTGTGTAAACAGCAAAAAAAATGTAATATCGGTCAATGTAATTCAAGCTGATGTATGAAATAATGATGTTATAGCAAAAAGCAGATACAATATTACATCAATGGATGTAATTTTGTTCGCAAAATCGATCTACATCGTACAACGTTATATTACACAACCGATGGATTGACCTGGTTGCAGCAGTTTGGATGTAATATTAAACAACTTTTTTTTCTGTGTATAATGGGTGCGCGTGGTATGTTATTAACTTCGGAATTTTCTTATTTATGTCAATGATAAAATACAATAATATTTTATTCAAAAATGAAATGCCATCAACAAAAATAAGTAGCGACACCGGTGGTGTAGTGGTGAGCGTGATTACCTCTCACCCCAGCAGGCCTGGGTCCCAGTCGACGCTGCCGGGATGTTCTGAGTCATAACATCTCTGATCGCGCCAAGGATCACGCCTTCCTTCGGAAGGGAAGTGAAGCCATTGGTCCCCGGTTCACGAGTTGATGGGTCGATAGGTAGGGTCCAGGTATGGGAGCTCAGCATGGAAAACAAATCATGGAAAGAAAAACAAAAATCAGTATATGAAGCAAGCAAGCGAGGCACCGGACATTGATTATGATTTTTTTTTCTAAAACTAAACTAAAACTAAAAGCTGCTTAGCAAAAAAAAATGTAAAATCAATCAATGTAATTCAAGCTTATGTATGAAATTATGATGTAATAGCAAAAAGCAGATACAATATTACATCAATGGATGTAATTTTGTTCGCAAAATCGATGTACATCGTACAACGTTATATTACACAACCGACGGATTGACCGAGGGATTGACCTGGTTGCAGCAGTTTGGATGTAATATTTAACAACTTTTTTTTCTGTATAAACAACAAAAGTATAAATCAGCTACCCTGTAGCATGTCCATTGTTGCGCACTGTCCAGTTTTGACAGTGTTCTTCAATTTTCCTGAAAATTAAGCAAATGGCGTGTTGCAACAAAGCAGGATGCTGCAACGTTTAAAGTTGTTTTTTACCCATTAATAAGTATAAAAATACACATTTTTTGACTAGTATTAAAGGGTACAGTTGAAAACCGGAAAAGCCCACACACGACAATCCATTTTACTCTGGTTCTGTACGTTAAACATGGTATCGGATATAGTGCGCTGTATTCACACAATGATGCAGTATAATGTGCACTATGTCCAACGTTATGTTTAACGTACAGAATGAGAATAAAATCGAATGTCGCATGTGGGGTTTTCTGGTGTCTAACTTGACCGACAATACTACATTCATAAAATGTTGTTTTTTTTCACACATTTTTGGATCTCAAAATTTACACATTTTTTCATAGCTGCATATAAATATACAAAATGTGTAGTTTTTACTCATTTATGTGTTTACGCTGGTTGTCGTTATTTTTTTACCGCTTTTTAGGAATTCCTGTCGTGTTGGGGTATAATTGAATAATGCTTAAATTTTATTCTATTTTCGATTAGTTATATTTTTGAGTGAACAGCATAATTGGGAAGAAAGTTTGTTTGCAAATACTGATAGGCCTTTTTCAATTGTTGATCGAGAATTGTGATATTTAGAACTGTCACACAAAATTGCAGATTTTATCTAATAGGGATGACAAAGACTATGTCAGATAATGGAGTAACTGTTTGATAAAAATTAAAACAAATAATTTGGCACAATTAAGCATAATGTTTCCAGACGAAGTTAGAAGCTTAATATTCGTTTATTGTGCAAGCTTTTATTCATTGGTTTCCGGTTCAGTTCATAATGCAACCCACAGTAAGTGTATAATATTCCTTTGGACAAAAGAACCATTTTTGAAATGTTTGTTTATTTTTTTTCTCTAGCTATTCAATGCCTAATAGATATGCTGAATCAATGTCCACCTAATTCTTCATGTGATCAGGGCTCATGTGTTTGTTTGCGCCAGTTCAAACAAAATCCTGAATACAACGATCATAAGAAAAACGAATTTTGCATTGAAATATCCATAGAACAATCTTCTAATGGCAATAAATCATTCACATACGACAAAGTGTTTAGAGAAGCTCCATCAGTACATCATATATTAGGCGGAATTTTGATTCCCATATGTGCAGTAATAATGATCTTAGCCACTATAATTTTGGTTAATAAAATGCAGCCGATGCAGAGGATTCGCCAATTACTTTTATCAAATCGTCCCAGAAGACCAGCGTACGAAGATGTTGTATTAGGTAATGATTCAGATGATCCCCCTATAATTTAAAATTTTCATTTAAACTAAAATAAACTTTTATTAATTTTTGCAGTAGGCTATGAACAATAATTCCAAAGATTGATGGAAACTTGAATAAGTTTTTTTTATTGAAAGTGAACGTCAAGCAAGGCTTTAATCGCCCCTTTATTCCTACTAAGGCGTAGTTATCACCATATCATTTATGTTCAATCAATTTTACTAAGTTCTGTAGTCAGAGTCCATATCTCAACAGGTAAAAAATTAGCTCAATACCGAATAATTCGAAATTTCCGAAGTGTTATAGTTTTAAAATTTTCAACCAATTGGCAATAAACGACGGCGTGCTTAAGAAAATAATTAACTTCGAAAATTTCGAATTATAAATGTGCTAATTAGTTGGCCATTTTCAACCAGCCCGTCAATTTCCGGCAAGCGCTTCCAATAATTTGATATTACGTACACGCAAAATTCAACATATTTGTAGTTCTGTGTCAAAATTTCAGCTCAATTGATCATAACAAAACATAGTTGCAACATGCCAAAGTTGGCTGGTTTGTATGAAATTCGGCGTATTGTGCTAATTTAGAGGCCACCACCAGATATATCTAGGATATCTAGAATTATATTTTATATATATATATATATACTTAGATTATTTTGCCGAGATTGGCACCACTGAGCAGGCTCGGCATTTATTTTTACTGAGATCTCAGCAAAATTTATGTTTGTTAGCCGAGATCTCGGCAAAATTCCGGTTTGTTAACTGAATCTCGGCCAATTTTTCACTGAGATGCAGCAAAATAGATTTCCGAGCTGCTCGGTGGTGCCCTAATTTAAGTATATATATATATATATATATATATATATATATATATATATATATATATATATATATATATATATATATATAGTGCACAATAATGTAAATAAATCATATCCACATAAACAAGAAATGTATTTAGGAATATTAATCAATTTGATTGATTAAACTGATAGTCTAAGGTAAAGATGTAATCAATTTTGTGATTTATTTTCGATACAATTCTACTTATAAATAGTTAAACAGCATGTAAGATCAATAATCAAGCTTTTATGTACTGTAAAATAAAGAAATAAAGAGCTGTAACGGTAAAGAATGTAAATATTGATGTCTTTGTCCAGCGTCCATCCGTCCGGAAAACCGTTAACAAAATCATGCGAACAGGCAACCGATTAACCAAAATATACTGTACCGAAGAGACTCTCACCAAAGATCAAATCTAACCCGATCGGTTGCCGACAATTCTATCGTTCTTTGCTTTGTGCCTTCATTGTCGACGTTTTGCTTTAACATTCATCTCAACCCGTTCAACGTTTCATTATTTTTTTATCGATAGCGTTGCGCGTTTTCTCATGCATTTCTATTTGTGTTTCTGAACAACATTACTGCCCAATTTATGTAATAGTAATTTCTTAAATCTATGCTTGTATCACAGACAAACAGACATAACACATTGACTATTTCTCACTGTATGCTAAAACACTGTGGTGGGTAGTATGCTAAACAGATGGCGGTAGTGTGTAAACGTCAAACGCAAAGGAATTGACTATGCGCGCCGCAGGTGGTGGTACTACCAACTAAGATACTTTTAAAATGACCCTTAAATGCGAGCTTAAATGCGTGTTCGATGAACAACTTGCGAGTGTTATGTCTACTTGTCTGTGCTTGTAGATTTTTGCATTGTAACTATTTCAATCTTTTAATTTGAATCTAACTAATAATCTCTTATGCTCATCATGTTTACACAAAAACCAATTCAACTGACATGAATGCATCCGCAGGATGTAATATGTCACTAATAAAATATGGTGAATATATATATAGAAGAAGTAAAGAAGAAATTTATGGAGAAGAAGTGTACAACATGGAGACGATGAACAAGGAAACGATATCTATCATTTAAATTAATCCATCCGAATGTTTAAATTCGTCCGCCGTTTTTTTCTTTTTTCAATAATCCTTTTATTTAATCGTTTTCATGAATCAATCACCATATACAATAATTGGCTATCTTTGTGTATTTTTTTACTATAATTTATACCATTCACCATCAACAATATTTTTCCAAGATAAATTAAAAAAAAAATTGGGTACCCAATTTTTATCTGCAATCTAAATATGTCGTATGGCGATGTCGTAAAACAATCGAGGACCATGGTATTTGGAGCAGTTACAGATGTAGTGTTCGACGGTTTGTGGTACACTGCTTAGATCACAAATCTTGTCGATTTTCTTGGGACCAATAGGCTAGCAATAGACCAATTTAAAATCGTTAGTCTCCATATACCCCACCTTCGACGCATGCAGCTATTCTAGGGGTGAATGGAAGCAATCCGGATGATATACGGATCGCTGTGTGTGTGTTGTATACAGGTTGAATTTCCTTCCACAGTATGTAGTGGCTGTGCCACACACTAAGTTTTTTTCACCGAATCTCGGCAAAACAATTGCCGAGATGGGCACCACTGAGTGCTCGGCAACCATCTCGGCAAACAGCAAATTTGACGGTAAATCTGTGTGTGGGAATCCAACGTTTGGAATAATCATATTTACCTACTTTTGGGTACAACTAACAATACTTTGAAAGCTAGTGGAAAATTCCATATGAATTGCACACAAGTAAATGAAAACTACTTTGACCAGCTTTACTAACTTTTGGGTTCCTGGCGAGATAAGTAAAAAGAACTTACTTTTGGAACTTTTTCTTACCGTGCTGATTCATCAATAACTGTGTCTACTCGCAAAAAAGAACCATAGAGGTACAATGAAATGTTTTGTTTTTTTTTTTATTATAGTCACTCTCTTGGGTCATTCGTGACTTGTCCGGGGTGAGATTTGAACTCGTGACTTTGGCGTGAGAGGTATGGATGTTAATCACTACGTCGGGGCAGCCCCCACAATGGAATGCATTGTAACCATATAATAGAATTTATTGTATTTAAAATAAATCGTATTGTCCACAATAATAGAATAACCATAGAGTTTATTGTTTCCACAATAAATACAAATAACCCCTCGATTTCTCCAATGGTTAATTGAAGAAATCGAGAGGGTTATTTTGTAGATACAAAAACTGAAAAAATTCATTTTTTTTCCGCACAAACTTGAGCCACATACTTTTAATTTTATTGTTTTTCTATTTTGGAAAATTAATACAATATGGGACGTAATGTAGATCTGTTGTAATAATATTTTTTTAAATTTAAATAATATATATTATATATATATATATATATATATGTATTAGTTCTGTTTTATGGTAATATTATTTGGTTTTATGGTAATTTCATTGCTTATTTTTTCCGGCTATTCTTTAAGAGAATATTAAATTTATATAATACGTTGAAAGAAGTTTAACACAAGGTACAACCACCCTACTACCATCCCCACACTTCCCAATACTACAGGTCAACATGAAGGCATAAAAAACAATTATCGACATCAACAGTGGGTAGGTTGAGTTTATTTTCAAAATTTTTTGTACACAAATGTTTTAATACATTAATATATATATATTAATTTAAAATACTGTACGCAATGTGTAAAAGAGCAATATGTTAAAGAGCTTATAAACAAAAAATTAATCGATTGAAAATAGTGTGTCATATAGTCTAAAAACATTTAGCATATCTTTTTTACATATATGATATTTGCATGCATTTCACAGATTTGGCACTTTATTGTTCCACTGTTGCTCAAAATAATACCATTGTTGGTAATTTCGTTATGATAGAAATATGTTTAAATAAAACATCGTATGCTTAACAAATGCTTTATGTGCTTATGCTTTTAATATATATCGATGTATAAAAGTACAAAAATGTGGAACAACATTTCACATTCACATTGTGAATTTTTGTTTGATAAATTATCTTTGTACGTCTCTCGGGTAGCCTTTTTACTAATTATAATTATTTTATGATTTTATATGGATATGAAGATGGCATATCATAACATTAGTAAATATTACACATTTCGGAAATAATATCAAAATTCATCTGCCTTGATAACAAGCCCTGCTGCTTTCTTAACATCATCATACATACATACATACATACGTCAAAAATATTTCAACGTATTATTCATTTATAAGATACTAACGATATTTTCTTAACTAATGCACTTCTTTGTTTTTTTTTTTTTGCATGAAAGCTAGATCTTTCCTATGTTGTCTGAATTTTTATAAGACTGATGATTTTTTTATGTGTATGTAACCCTATCAATTGCAATTAGCTTCAATACATGTGTATACAAAATAAGAGTTGAATATCTCGAATGTTATCAGTCAGATTTTCTTATGACATGTGAATTTAGTTTGAAGTAATACGAGAGACTTTCAACAGAAGTTTCATTTTGTTGTTGGGATACTTTGGGTGTCTGCTTTTAAATTCATTAGAATGGAATATGTTAACCAAAGAATGATTGCAATGATAAATGTTTTGGAACATATACATAATTTTACTTTTTTTTTAAATAACCAAAACAAAACCAGCCGCTTATGAAACAAAAACTAAACATAGTGATTTATTTTCCTAATGAAATTTAAATATTGTATAGAAGCGATTCCAGACAAATTCGCACATCCATTAATTTTCGTTTTTGTTTTAAACGAAAATTTTCAGAAACGTTTTTCATGACCAAAAATGCTATTTTGCATCTTCAGATCATCATTTTAAATCGAGTCTTAATTTTGAAAAGGGTCTGTAGAAAATTGTTAAGCTTATTTTCAGAAAACTGTTGCTCGATAGATGTTTGTCCAATCGGTTTGGTACCTTTGGCAATGATGTAGGGAACATCTGGAACTATATGAAAAAAAAACGAACTCTGATTTTTTTTTAATTTTAAAATAAAAACACAAAAATGGGTTTACTCAAAAATTGTTTTTTCGTATTTTTTATTTTTTTTATATGCACCTATTGCATTATAGGTCAAAATGGAGAAATGATGGATAAAAAAGTTTTTATTTTTTCCCTTGATTTGTTTTCCGTGCTCCAATGTCACCGACGCCAGGGAGGCAGCTCCCGCACCTGGACCCTACCTATCGACCTTATTTTGAAGTTACCGTTAAGTTGGTTATTTCCCGCAAAACCCAGCCCAATCAACTTCTAAATATTATTGTCCGTGAGATTTCGGCACTTTTTCGAGCAGCTTTTACTAAACACGTTTATGCACTTATGATAAAATGTATTCATTTTAACTACTACTTCGTCTTCTGAATTACTGAACCTAAGCAGGTCACTTTCACAGTTTGTGAAACTGTGAATTATATTCTAATAATGATTCCGTGTCAGACTTTGCTTAAATATAGATGAAGGTAACTAAAAACCATGCCATTTGGTACCATGAATTGCTTAGCAATAGTTAGTATGTTAGCATTTTAGCACTAAGAAAGAGCTTCGATATCTCGGGTGAAAAAAACCTTGGACCTGGAGAACCGCGAAATACATTCGAAAATGGCAAAAAACTACCAACATTTAAACAAAATCTACGTTCAAACCACTACATCTAGAAAACGGTGTGACTTAGCAAAATTTTTATCAAGTTCTTCTTTATTTCAAATTTGGTGTACTTTCAATATATCAAGTCGAAGAAATAATTGAAACAAGTTTTGGATATTTTTCCAAAAACTTGAGTTTTTCAAAAATCATAACTTTTTTGTCCATCATTTCTCCATTTTGACCTATAATGTAATAGGTGGCATTCATTGTCCCATATAAAAAATAATTTTTTTTCGATAAATCAGTTTTAAAGAAACTTTTTATATTAAATAAAAAAAAAAGCAGTGAAGAATTTTTCAGAGAGCAATTTTTTTTTTCATATAGTTCCAGATGTTCCCTACAACATTTTCCAAGGTTCCAAACCGATTGGACAATATTTGTTCTAGTAACAGTATTCTAAAGATAAACTTAACATTTTTCTATACGCCCTTTTCAAAATTATGGCTCGATTTAAAATGGTGATCTGAAATGCTAAATTTCATTTTTGGTCATGAGGAATGTTTCTGAAAATTTTCAGCCGAATAAAAAAAAAAACGACAATTAATGGATGTGCGAATTCGTCTGGAATCGTTCAATTTGAATCCATCAGTGGTTGTGATAGTTTAAAAGTACATGACTGGTATGTATTGAATAGAAAAAGACGGAATTTTATTTATTGAATAAAGTGCAAAGGAATAAATATAAAAAGATGTTTTGAGATTAAAGTTCTCTAAAAACGCGTAATACCTCGTTCACATTACTGCGTGTATCACCAACCTTGATATCAGATTTCATGTGTAAATATTTACTCGAAATAACGTATATGACGTTTGGTATTAAGGTATTCAATACACGCTGTAGTGCGAATTTAGTTAAAGGTTGAGTGACCCTCATCAATCGTTACTTGCCATAATACTATTACAATATATTTTCTTCAGTAACAAAATACATTGTTTTTGTTTAAATTATCCTTTCATCTTTTGAATCTATTCACCAAACACTACACTTATTTGACGGATTCATTGGTGAACCAAATGGACAGTTATAAGCTTCTGCAAAATCCTTGGAATTGGAAAGTGGACCAATTACTCTAATAATACCGGGGGAGTGCACTGAAGATCGTATTTTAGTTAGAGCATCTTCAGGCCGCATAGATCCACACCATATTTGGGCGTAGTTTAGAAAAAATAGTTGATCATGTGTCATATTCATACCAGGAAGGTTAAGCTCTGGTCCATGAAGGTCCACCCATTTACGATATGCCTGAAAAAATAATAATTATAGAGATTATTACTGAAGTACGACTGCATAGCTAACCCTAATAAACATGTACCATACACTAACGATATCATAGATGGTACGACCATACAACATAAAGTTGGGAAGATGTCCCGAATTGATGTTTATGCGCTTCTTATGGTTATTGTTCATGCGGGAATTGTTTAAATCAAAATGACCAATGGTAACAAGGACAAAAAGTGGATTGCCAAAAGTAAGAAAAGTAGGAGAGGGCCAAAAATCCTATTTTTAAATTTATTCTGGAGATCCAGTGAAAGGACAAGCATTACCGAATTTCGGTCAAGAGCCCATTGTATTCAGTCGCCTTGGGCGTTATGTACCATGTTTCTAGGAGGTGTTCCAAGTAACCTATCATCATCAATGTCAGTTCACCAGGTACCACTATTGCTGCGAACATGTGCTTAATTTGTGGTAAAGCTTATAGTGAGCCCAATCCTCGTTGTATTCTTCTTAAAAGGCGTAAAGACCTTCTTAAACTACCTCAAACTCCTCAAGTTTTGAAGAGCTCTGATCACGCTTTCCTTCGGAAGGGAAGTAAACCCGTTGGTCCCCGGTTCGTGAGTTGATTGGCGTCGGTAGCATTGGTGCTCAGCACGGAAAACAAGATCGACGGAAAACAAACCAAAGAAAAAAAAAGGAGCTGGTTCTGTGAAGATCTCTTGTGTTGATTCCAACGGTGAGCGAACGATCATTACCTTGTCCGATGTGCTATATGTTCCTGGATTCTAAATGAACCTTACCTCCACGAGTAAGCTTATTGGAAGAGGCGCAAATGTCCAATTTGGAACGGACGGATGTCAAATTTTGTTCAATCAAGAAGTAGTAGCTGTAGCATTCAAGCACTGTGGTCTGTATCGACTGAAGATACATGGCGAACGAGCGATGGTTGCTGGACAGAGTCATACGCAGAATTGACAGCACACATAGCTTAGACGTTTGGGCCACCGAGACGAAACTGTCTTTCAACAGATTATCAGTAAGGACTTGGCAAGTTGTATTCAGGTGCGTGACTACGGAATTCATGAAGTTTGCGAACCGTGTCTCGAAGGTAAGCACATTCGGAAGCCTTGATTTGATTTATACGGATGTTAGCGATCCAATGGAAGCGTACACTCTAGGTGGATTCGTACTCTATTTCTTGAAGAAGAAATCCAAGGTTCCAGAGAAAATTCAAGAATTCGTCGAGATGGTCAAGACACAACATGATCAAGTTCCGAAAGCCATCCGGCTGTCCGGTTGTCTATAATGACCATAGATGCGGCATTGTAGAGAGAGCTCTTCGATAATAGCACTGCCGGCCAGTGGGGGTTAGAAGGAATCCACAGTGTGAGTCACACACACATACACACACAAACTATGTTTCATGAGGGGTGATATCAGGGCTACAAATGGTGAGTTGACAACCTAGCTCTGGTCCTCACAAGTTCCTACCTCACACCTCCCCGTGGTGTAGCCTGGGCAATGTTGTCCTTCCAACAATAGCAAAGTGAGAGGGTGCGACGCGAACTCTGGCGTGGTAACCATAGCACGGCGATAGAGGAAATGCTTCGTCAACCCGCAGGAGTGTCAACCGGAACATTAGGATCGACGCCAGTAAAATCCTAATTACGGCATACTGGACATGGCATGGAACTATGAACACGACACGGCTCAATGGATTGGATACCACGCTACAGGGCTGACAGTCGTGCTATTCTGCTCCCTGAGTAAAGAAGGGTGTCACCTTCTTGAAATGACGAGTGGGCTAATAGCACCGACAAACCGACATGACACTTAATTCTGACTTATGCCCGAAAATCTTAAACGACCGATTTAAATGCGCAGTTATCCGAACGGTCAAAACCATAGGATCTATTGATGTAGATAAAACTAACTTGTCCAGAATATATCAGACTCGAACCAATTAATAACTGTTGCATGCGGATTCATGGCTTAGCTAAATATTTCCCGCAGAACACGGAGCCAGATGTCAGTAGTGTGCTTTGGTCAGAAATTTTATTGTTTTTGCTATGGTCAGAGCTGGTAAATATCACGGCCATCATGTGAGAATGAGAAAACAGGTCCTCTCACTATCACGAGACGAAACTACCTATCATTAGTTTTCTTGTCATTTTCCAATGATCAAGCACTCATGAGAATAATTCTATTGCGGTTTTTACATCTACATTTAGCTACATCTAACTGATTTAGATTAATTCAAGCAAGTATAATAAGAGAGAGAAGGATTAGTATGTTCCATTTAATTCCACTACTTTATTTGCTTATCCTTGACAGATACGCGTATTTCGTCTACAATGTGCAGACTTCTTCAGTGTCTTGTACTAATAGTCGAGTATTAGTACAAGAAAGCAAATAAAGTAGTGGAATTAAATGGAAAATACTAATCCTTCTCTCTCTCATTATACAGGTATTCCACTAAGACGCCCACATTCATCAGGATTCAAGCAAGTAACCGTATGTAATCAGTAGAGTCAATATATTATTACGACTTTCTCGGTACAAGTAACCGCAGTAAAAGCAATAAATGAGCTAGTAATTACGATGATTACAACACTGTCACATTTTGTCATGACGAAAAATTCTATGAGATTTTGAAGAAAATCTTTATCATCGTTTTCTCATCCGAGGATAGTGACAGAAGTATCTCTGTAAATATCGCGTGAGATCTTTCATTGAAAATGAAATTTACCAGCCCTGGCTATTGTCATTCATGTCGGTTTGTCGGTGCTAATAGTGCGGCTGCCCCTGTCCGGTAAAACCTTGACAGGCCTCCGGATACGTTCAAAACTCGTCACCAATTGGTGGTTGGTGAGTAGTAGGCTTAGATGTAACATTCCTGACTTACGCCGATCTTGCTCTGAACACGGCCCCATGAAGGACCGTGTCAACCCTAGCATGGCTTCCCTGCGTGCATAGATAACCATGGGAGCACGATAGGCGACTACATACAAAGAGTGGAGATAGCGGCCCGGAGGGAGGACCCAACAGAATGGAGAAACACGAAGAAAAAAACCAAAAGAAGAAAATGAGAAAACCCAAAAACATATGAAGGACGACGGCAAGACGCCAGAAAATGAAAACGGAGGAGCGAACATGTTCGCATGTTTTTGCTATGGTCAGAGCTGGTAAATATCACGGCCGTCATGTGAGAATGAGAAAACAGGTCCTCTCACTATCACGAGACGAAACTACCTATCATTAGTTTTCTTGTCATTTTCCAATGATCAAGCACTCATGAGAATAATTCTATTGCGGTTTTTACATCTACATTTAGCTACATCTAACTGATTTAGATTAATTCAAGCAAGTATAATAAGAGAGAGAAGGATTAGTATGTTCCATTTAATTCCACTACTTTATTTGCTTATCCTTGACAGATACGCGTATTTCGTCTACAATGTGCAGACTTCTTCAGTGTCTTGTACTAATAGTCGAGTATTAGTACAAGAAAGCAAATAAAGTAGTGGAATTAAATGGAAAATACTAATCCTTCTCTCTCTCATTATACAGGTATTCCACTAAGACGCCCACATTCATCAGGATTCAAGCAAGTAACCGTATGTAATCAGTAGAGTCAATATATTATTACGACTTTCTCGGTACAAGTAACCGCAGTAAAAGCAATAAATGAGCTAGTAATTACGATGATTACAACACTGTCACATTTTGTCATGACGAAAAATTCTATGAGATTTTGAAGAAAATCTTTATCATCGTTTTCTCATCCGAGGATAGTGACAGAAGTATCTCTGTAAATATCGCGTGAGATCTTTCATTGAAAATGAAATTTACCAGCCCTGGCTATTGTCATTCATGTCGGTTTGTCGGTGCTAATAGTGCGGCTGCCCCTGTCCGGTAAAACCTTGACAGGCCTCCGGATACGTTCAAAACTCGTCACCAATTGGTGGTTGGTGAGTAGTAGGCTTAGATGTAACATTCCTGACTTACGCCGATCTTGCTCTGAACACGGCCCCATGAAGGACCGTGTCAACCCTAGCATGGCTTCCCTGCCTGCATAGATAACCATGGGAGCACGATAGGCGACTACATACAAAGAGTGGAGATAGCGGCCCGGAGGGAGGACCCAACAGAATGGAGAAACACGAAGAAAAAAACCAAAAGAAGAAAATGAGAAAACCCAAAAACATATGAAGGACGACGGCAAGACGCCAGAAAATGAAAACGGAGGAGCGAACATGTTCGCAAGGAGCGGGATATTGCAGAGATCATCAGTGTTGAACCTGGAGGCCACTGCGAGTTCCAGCAGCAGCAGTAAGTCCCAAGGAGAGCAGCCAGGCGTTGGGTTAAGCGTATTCACACCGATATCCAGCAATAGCAAATCTCAAGAACTGCAGCTTCAGGAGGAAGATCGATGAACTCTATGTGTTCGTAAAGAATAAAGGAGATCAAGCAACTTGTGACAGGAATCAAATCCGGCATAACAGTGGCAGATCGGGAATTCCAAGAGTGGAGAAAAAGAGCCGAAAATGCCAAAAAGGGTCTCCTGGAGGCCAAGGAGAGCATAAGACTGGCTGAAGTACATGAGACGCCTAAGGGACCCACAAATCCACGTCCTGAAAAGAGAGATAGGGACACGCCAGGAGATAAGAAGGAGCCCAAAAAACGCAAGGACGAGGAAGGCATCATGAAGATGGGAGAAAATGGTGGGTGGCGTAAAGTCGAGAACCAGAAGGAGAGGAAGAAAAAACAGAAGGAAAATGAAGTTAGCAAGAAGGAAGAGGAAGCGAGGAAGAAGGTAGAGAAGAAGAATGAATACAGGAAGAACAAGGAGAAGCCTAGGCCTCGTAGAGAGAGAACCAAGGATGACGCTCTGGTTTTTGAGGTGAAGGACAAAACGTCCTACGCAGCACTCCTCCGGAAAGTGAGAGAGGATCCGGAGTTGAAACAACTTAGGCGAGAATGGGGGCGACCCCGGCGTAGTGGTTAACATCCATACCTCTCACGCCAAAGTCACGAGTTCAAATCTCACCCCGGACAAGTCACGAATGACCCAAGAAAAAAAAAACTAGGCGAGAACGTGGTGAAAACCAGGTGAACTCAGAAAGGTGAGATGCTATTTAAGCTGAAAAGGGATCATACGGTTAAGGGCGCAGCTTTTAAGGAGCTCGTCGAAAAATCTCTTGGTGTGACGGCGAACGTAAGAACCTTATCCCAGGAGTCAGTGGTCGAGTGCAGGGATCTTAACGAGATCATAAAAGAAGACGAGTTGAAAAGTACGCTGAAGGTGTAATGCAACCTGGCAATTCGGTTGAGGAAGACTGTCACCAGGCAAAGGTCTGATCTGTGCAGGAAATGCGGAGAAGGGGCACGTTGTAAAAGACTGTACAAAGCAGCCGAGGTGCATGCTCTGCAAAAAGGAGGACGGAAACGGCCATGTGATGGGAAGTTTCAGGTGCCCAGAGTTCAAGAAGGCGATGGTGGGCCAGCAATAATGGAGGTAACCCAAATAAATCTCAATCATTGCAACACAGCAACAGCAACTTTTGTGGTAGTCGACAACGGAAACAAAGTGCGACGTTGCTATCATTGCAGAGCCATATCAAGTACCTCTAGGCTCTAGATAATGGTAACTGGGTGGCGGATAGAGCAGGAATGGCGGCCATACAAGTCATCAGCAGGTATCCAAATCAACAAGTGGTGGCGGGCTCATAAGAATGTTTCGTGATCGCCAAAATCAATGGAATCTATGAATGTAGTTGCTACGCACCTCCGAGATGGAAAATTGAGCAGTTCCACCAGATGCTAGATGGAAGAGCATTCCTTATAGAGATTGCTAAAGTGTGATTGTGTCAGTGATTTGTTTTCATCAGGAAAATTTTCCGCTATGAAGTTTTTTTTTCCCGATGTAAACATTTTGGGTATACGTACATGCACGTGACGTAGTGTGCGTACGATAAACGTCAGCAATCTCTATAGCAAAACTTTTCATACATAATGGCAAGGTTGCAAATACTCATTTCAGCTAAAATAATGTTTTTTGGAATAATAAAACCAAAAGATAGTATGATGACATGTTTTACTTGTAACTTACAAGAAGAGGTTACAGAGTATGCGTTTGAAACATAAAACCTGTAAATTTTGCTTTCTATGAGTCACAATCAGCGATTTGCTGATCGCTGAGTGAGTGAGTGAGTGAGTGAGTGTGTGAAAAATCGCTGATTGTGACTCTCATGAAGTGAAAAAAACAGGTCTCATATGTTTCTAGCTGTCTGTTCCACTGAAAAACGTCTCTTGGATCACCTTATACGCCACATACTCACCCTAAATGATTGTTTAAGTCCTCCATTATCAGCAATGTTCTCACCCTGTGTCATTCTACCATTCATGTAAAGATTTACTTCGTTTATTTTATACCGTGAATATTGGTCAATTATGCATTGTGCTCTCTCACGAAAAGCTTTGATGGTTGCATTATTCCACCACTGCATCATATTACCATCTCTGTCAAATTGACGTCCCTTGTCATCAAAACCATGTGTAATTTCATGACCTATTACTACTCCGATTCCGCCATAATTCAACGATTTTGGAAAATGTTGACTGTAAAACAATGGCTGAAGTATTCCAGCAGGGAACACTACAAAGTATCAATGATTATTTTGCGTAATGTAATAATTTCGACCGTTTTTACCGATGTCGTTTTTATTCGGATTGTAGAAAGCGTTGACAACTGCCGGCTCCGTCGCCCATTTATCCTTGTCAACTGGTTTTCTAAGCAGTTGCAAGTTGCGCTCGGCATCCCATTTAAGTATGTTCAAAATGTTGTTTATAAAGTTATCCTTTGATATAGTCAGCTGTAAATAAAAATCAGATTAGTGTTTTCTATTTTAATCATTAAGACAATGAAAAATAATTTAAACGAGGATATTTAGATTTACATTTGCTTCCAGTTATGTCAGTGAATTGACACTTTCCACAAACTCGAAACTATTCAAACATAAATTTTAGGATATACAACAGGTAAATAGGAATATAACATTTGAATACTTAAAATAATAATACACTAGCGCACATTAAAATAATTTTAAATGTTTGGTTTCATACATAATTTAAGCATGCTAAAATCAGAATGAAAACATTACTCAAAAACCCTGAATTCATCCACATGAATGAGTTCTGACCCTTCAACCACTTAACACTGAATTTTAAATGTGAACAGCAATGACCTGGTTTTATAGCTATCATGTAAACTTATGTGTTGAATCTAGTTGGAAACTTGCCACTCCCTCGGGGATGGATTCGAGTCTGACCAATGTATAGTCTGGGACAGTCGATATGTCCTATTTCGATCAGGATCTAATTATGTATTTTGATGTGTCACATAATGAGTTTTTTTTTCCAAGTCTGGAGCTAGCTATAATTTATCTTGTTTTTGAATTCTGATGCAATTTGATATGTAGCATGATGGGTTTTGGTCCTAGCCAGAAACTGGTTACTATCTCGAAGGAACCCAGAACATGGCTGGATCTGGCCAATGTGGCCCTATGAACTCGATATGACTAACATTGAACTTGGTTTTGAGTTCACATATTCAAGTCAGAAACTGGCTACTTCCCCCGGGGGTATTTGGAACGTATCCGGATGTGATCTAAATGGTCCTGGGTACCCGAAATGTCTAACATTGAATTTGGTTTTGAGGTCTCATTGAGATGTCGTATGATGGGTTTGTCCGTGTCAAAAAGTGACTACTTCCCTGGGGGTCGAGCTGGAGGTACCTGGATTATGTCCAGATGTAACCAATGTGGTCCTGAGTTTCAAGTGGTGGTATAACTACCATTGAGCTAGGTTTTGAATTCTCATGTGATTTGAAGCATCGCATTATAGGTTTTGGTCCAAATCAGATACTGGTCACTTTCCCGGGAGAACCTTGACGAAGCGTTACATAGAATGAGGGCCCTGACTAGCTGTGCTATTCTGTTATTTCCAGAACCGGATTTTGCTCTACGAGATGGACATAGAGCAGGGATCTACAAGGTTCCATCCTTGGTCCAACGCTCTGAAATGCGACTACAATACAATGCCGTACTGACGCTCAAGCTGCCCAAAGGAGCCGAAATTGTTGGCTTGTGGAGGACGTCGTCTTAAAGTTAGTAGGCGAGATGCTGCAAGAGGTAGAAGTGTTGGAAACTTGATGCAAGGAGAGAAGCTGCAGATAGCCTATCACAAAACGGAAGTGCTATTGGTCAGTAACTGCAAAGCGGTGCAGCGAGCAGAAATCACCATCGGGGAGCACGCCATAGCTTCGAAGCGTGATTAAATATCTGGGAGTGATGATCGATGACCGGCTAAAGTTCAACATCCACGACGATAAGGCGGCGAAAGCCATCTAAAATATCTATCTAGCTAGATTCATGCCGACCAACTCTTGGCCAAGCAGTAGCAAGAGGCGTTTTTTGGCTAGTGTATCCTCGTCGATACTGAGGTACATCGGTCCAGCCTAGGTTGCAGCGCTGGATATTAAGCGGAATCAAGTGAAGCTGAACAGTACGTTCAGGCTCATGGCCATGTGAGTCGTGAGCGCGTACAGAACCATCTCGCCGCAAGCAGTATGTGTTGTCGCTGGAATGATCCCTATCAGTATCACCATGCCGGAGGATAGCGAGTGCTATAAGCGGAGATAAACCAAAGAAGTACGGAAAATGGTGAGAATGGAATTGATGGCCAAGTGGCAGCAGGAGTGGGAAACGGCCGAGAACTTCCCCGTGGTCCAAGGGGACCCACGCTAGAGCAGCAAAGCTGGAGATCAAATTGAAATTAAAATTTGCTGTTATGATGCAACTTATTTTGAATGCTCCAGTTGATCTCATTTTGGTTGACTTAATGGTTAACACAGCAAAAATTTGAGCAAAATTTATCATTGTTGAATCAAACGGAAAACTGATCCTGCTTTCAGTGAAATTAATTAGATTACTGATTTTGTATTAATAATATTTAACTGAATACGGGTCTGGTTTTAAATTGTTAGCATCCATGCTTCTCACGCTGAAAGACTTGAGTTCAAATCTCACCCGGACAAGTCACGAATGACCTAAAATTTGTTAAACAAAACGAATTGATAATAACGTGTAAGACGTTAACAGCAGAACTTGAAGTTAAGTGGCTTTCATTTCTGCATAATGAAAGCACAATATGATATCAGATTTCTGTCGCGACAGTTGAAATCAAAATTGCTTTTCATTATGATAGAAAATGCAAACTTTAGTATCCATTTGTTTGCATTTCGTTAACCGACTTTTCTCTGATACAACATTGAATTTGTACCAAAAATGTTTTTTTTTTAATAATTATGTTATTTGATTACCTGTGGCCCCAAACGGATAAAGTAATTGGAATTAGATCATTGAATCATTGGAGGAATTATTTATAAATAAACTGCATTAAAAACCGTAAAAAAAACATGTAAAAAAAGTCCTTAACGTAGGATGAATTCATAGATAAATGTTTTAGATTATGATTATTGACATCACTTGCTTTTATGTACTCCTTCTCCAATTCTTCAGGATTCGTCAATATTTCAGGATAGCCAATTCGTTCATTCATGGCATCTGCTTTCTCCTTGGCCACAGCTCTTGTTTCATCATCCATCCAATGAATATCCGCTAGAAGTTCATTAAAAGCCTCTCTTATGGTATGTATCATCTCCAAGGCAGTTTCTTTACTTTCCTGATTGAAGTTATCACGTATAAATAAAGCACCGACGGCCATGCCAAGTTTTTTGTTTGTCCACTCAACGCATTGAGACCACCTGTGACGTTCGGATTGAATGCCCAGTAAAATTTTTCTAAATTCAACTCTCTCTTTTTGATAATCATCAATCATATGCGTCATGATGGACATAACGAATCGCCAAATGGCATAATTGTGAATAATTCGTTTATCCGTCACATTTAAAATACGACCCATTTCTATCAAATATGGCATTGCGTAGCTAACAATAGCCTCATTATCCTCAAGCTTTACGCTACCCAGTGTGGTCTGAAATAAAAGTTAAGTATTAGTCACAATAGTTGAAAAGTAACATTACTGAAACAAACTTGTAAATATGCTTTCCAATTTATTTGTGGAACTTGATGCTGTAGTTGTTGCAATGTAATTTTAGTGTAAATTGCGCTGGTATCATGTCTATCGGCTTCTGGAAGCGAAGCATTAGCTAGACGGACTTCAAAATTTATCACCTCCATTAGTTCCCTAGACGCAATCGCAGGGTCGCCACCGAGAAGAATTGCTATTTGAGTCATATAGTGATGATAAGCCTTAAGATCTCCCTCACTACTCTGTTTCAAATAATAATCTCGTGATGGAAGTGCCAATACAAGTTGGTCAATCTAGAAGGAATATATTTGAGAAGTAAGATTTCAATCTTCATAAGGAGCCGTCCATGAGCCACGTAGACACTTTGCCAAAGCGAATGTCGACTGTTCAATTAAATTTCTAAAACATAATTATGAATTAGTATCTATGAAGGGTAAGGGAGGGGTGTATGCATTTTCTACAACTGTCTACGTAGTTTATGGACAGTCCATAATTTACATTAAACAATATGTATTGCTTATGAATGTTCTTAGCGTTTCGCTACACGGCCGCTACACAGATCGACTCTAAATTGAGTGGTTTTTAACTTAAAATCGCAACGTAGGTCACTCATAGACTGATTAAATTTTTCCTCGCTTTTCCTCAAAAATCTGCTCGAATATGAGGAAAATCGTCGATAATTTTACTCAGTCTAGGAGTATACTAATAGACTTAGCGAAACCTCTCTCAATTTTCCTCGCACCCGAAAAGTTTTTCCTGGAAAATCGAGTGAAATTTTTCTCAGTCTATGAGTGACCTACGTTTTTGCGAATTTGAGTGAACGGATATCAAATATGAGTCAGATTCAACCCCCGTGTAGTAACACTCCATGTTCGCTATTATCACTTCGCATTCTCATTCGCAAAAATTCAGATTCTACAAAACAAATTGCAACAAAAATGCTAACCCATCACGCCGTGTCCGATGTGACGGATTAATCAATCCTGATGAATGTGGGCGAATAATCAACTTTCAAGTACGTCGAGTTTTTTTTCTATCGGGAGAAATTTGAATTATTTAATTTTATCATAATTTTACATAATACCAATCAGTTTCAATAAACTTTTCATGGCTTTTGGGCAAACTAGTGTTCCATAGTCCTATAAAATTTCACACAATTTTAACGGCATACTTCTGAAATTTGGATGATTACAATTTCATTGAATTAGCTGTTTCTGTTCGGGAAGCCAATATATTTACACCAAAAAATACCATGTACATCCTGCACATTAGTATACATAATCTCAAAATTTGATGATTATTAATTCACTCAATTATTTCTTTAAATGCACCGAAAATTAGCCAATGTTTCGTTTATTTAGTATAAGATACTTTTTCAAAACGTTTGAATTTTTTCAATTTTTGCTTTATGATTAGATTCGACGAACGTAAAAGTCTGAATGACAAAAACATTCAATTGTTTCGATTGAAAGAGATAAATTAGAAAAGCTGAAATAACAGTATTTTTTATAAACTTTCAGTGATTCAAATATAACAATTTTGTGAACCAACTCTAGTAAACTCTAGAGGTTAAAGGTTTTGGGAGAGGATACCATGATGAGCGACGATATGGAAGCATGACTTAAAAACATTATGTGAAAAAAAATCCGGTATCCACTGGGTCTTGAACCCACATTCAGGGCTCTACATGTTCGAAGCTATAAAATGAACTCGAGTTTTGTTTCTTTCATACAACGTATTCAATGCATCATTTCTGTAATGCCTAGCTAGACTATCAGTACGAAACAAATATGAAAATGAAACACGCTAAGAACGAAAGGCTGACTGTGGATTTTATCGTCGTTGCTTTGCTCATCCCTTTCAATGAAAGTAACGTCGATTTTCGAGTTGAAACGAAGCCCCAATTTAGCATTTAATTTCTTTCACCGACACTCTGTACCGCTCCTTAAATTTATTTAATAAAGGGTGATACGGTCAAAATTTGGTCAAGGGAAAACGCGTGTAAATCGGTGAAATCGTTTATTTAAAAAATCAAATTAAATTTCTTTTTCAAGTTCAATTAGTATAAAATTCAGGAAAAATATTCAGTTAGGCTTCCGCTTTTCCAAATCCGAATTGCCGGGCCTTACGCTTGACCCCTGCCATCAGATTTTGTACAGCCACCTTGTCCACCTTCTTCGCCGCAGAAAGCCAGTTTGCCTTGAACTGCTGCTCGCCCTTAGCAGTTTTTTTTTGGTCTTCTTTAGGTTCCGCTTGACAATAGCCCAGTATTTCTCAATTGGGCGGAGCTCTGGCGTGTTGGGAGGGTTCTTGTCCTTGGGAACCACCTGCACGTTGTTGGCGGCGTACCACTCCATGGCCTTTTTACCGTAATGGCAAGATGCCAAATCCGGCCAAAACAGTACGGAACAACCGTGTTTCTTCAGGAAAGGCAGCAGACGTTTATTCAAACACTCTTTCACGTAAATTTCTTGGTTGACAGTCCCGGAAGCTATGAAAATGCTGCTTTTCAAGCCACAGGTACAGATGGCTTGCCAAACCAGATATTTCTTTGCGAACTTTGACAGTTTCATGTGCTTGAAAACATCTGCTACCTTTCCCCTTCCTTTTGCCGTATAAAACTCCTGTCCCGGAAGCTGCTTGTAGTCGGCTTTGACGTAGGTTTCGTCGTCCATTACCACGCAGTCAAACATCGTCAGCATCGTCGTGTACAGCCTCCGGGATCGCGCTTTGGCCGTCGTATTTTGTTTATCATCGCGATTTGGAGTCACTACCTTCTTGTAAGTCGATAGTCCGGCTCGTTTTTTGGCTCGATGCACGGTTGTAGACGATACACCCAGCTTATTTGCGGCATCTCGGAGAGAGAGGTTAGGGTTTCGCTTGAAACTACCGGCAACTCTCTTTTCGTACATTCGGAAAAATTCGCAACATTTTCTTGGAACCCTAATCTATCCTGCAGTATCAAACATTCTGCCTGAAAATGCCCGTTACATTAACAAAAATACCTTTCAAACATAAGCAAAAATCGTGACTTGATTCTACCTGTGCTTTGATGATAATGACTGCGCTTTGAAATTCATTGCTTCTTGAGTTCAAAATAATCTTCATACCTTTATCTTGAAAATCCATTTTAATTCAGGTTGATTCTTAGCTTAAAATTCGAAATTTTTTTGAGAGAACTTTCCTTATTTTCAAACAAAATTTCGACATGCAGCTAACAGCAGATCTTCGACAGCCGACAACGGGATAAAAAAGGAAAGAAACATAAAATGGCTGCCACATAGTGAACTGGAGAGTAACACAGTGGCGTGCAAAATTATGTGCTAGGCAGCTTTTTGAGTTTTACCATTTTAGCCAGCTTTCTTGTCCAAATACTCCTCTGTGTGGTGGTTCATCTGATAACTCCAGAAGAGAAGGCTGCCGCGATAGGTCAATACTTCGTCAGCTCCCATAATCTCGGACAAAACATCGTCAGCCCTCACAACATCCTGAATCTGGAAATCAAACACTTGAGTTCCAAATTCTAAAATCTGGCACTGATTTTTAATTTGTACCCCCGACTTGGCTACTATCCTTCGTGTTGGAAGTCAGCTAAAGTCATACCCAACTGCCCCCCCCCCCATTAAACTCAGCAACACAAAGGCTTTCGGTGAAATGGCGTTCGGTAAAATGACATTCGGCCAAATTTTCCATAGTATTTTTTTTTTCACCCCTCCCTAGCTCAAAAACTTACTACGCCCTTGATAGGTTGCCAAGGCAGCTTGTTTTGAATCAACTCACCTCTTATACTAGACCCTCTCTAGTCGAAAGAGGTAGTCTACCTCGGGTTAACACTATAGACAGCAAGTTAATTTTTAGCTAAGTTAAGAGGAGACAATACGGTGGCGAAAACGAACCACTTTTCTGTCAAACGCGAACCAGCTCGTGATTGCGTCGAGTGCATAAGATAGAGACAGATATAGATATAGATAGAGATAGAGATAGAGATAAAAGAGGAAGAAGCCAATTGTATCTTCCTCTTAGATTTTCTGGGAGCACGTTGACAAAACGAAAACCAAGAGTGTAGCGGCGCCGGTGGCGTAGTGATTACCTCTCCTGGAGGCATAACATCTCTGATCACGCCTTCCTTCGGAAGGGAAGTGAAGTCGTTGGTCCCCGGTTCATGAGTTGATGGGTCGATAGGTAGGATACATGTGTGACAGCTGCCTCCCTGGCGTCGGTAGCATTGGTGCTCAGCACGGAAAACAAGATCGACGGAAAACAAACCAAAGAAAAAAAAAGAAACCCAAGTGTAACATCTTGAAAAGATCATTGTAATATCCACTCATCAACAGGAGGTCTGCCCTGTCCCTGTAAAATAAGTTTGTGGTCTACAAACAAATCGTCCTTCCCGTAAGCGAGAGTTGCGCCAAATGCCATCACCTCAAACTCCAAAGGATCCAGAACAAGATCCTTAGGGTGATCGTAAACAGTCCCCCGCGAACTAGAAATTCTGAGATCCACCTCCTGGCTGGAATTCAGACATTATAAGAACGGAGAGTTCTATCTTGGAAAGGCTCAGAGACACCAGTCTGAGATCAACTCATCAGATCATACGTGATCTAGCACGTTAGGTTAAGTTATACTCGTAGTTAGGTAGGTTATCACTTTTTCAATTCAAACATAACACACCCCACAAGGGGTATTCTGTAGGCTAGTTGAAAAACTAAAATATTAAATTAGAATATCCAATGAAACAAAGATGAAGAGGAAAGTAGGCTAATCAATTAAACTGTTAAATCAATATACAATCATCAACAAACCGAAATAAACATAATTTTAGCAGTAGTAGCTCGTTGACGGCATTCTTGTAACGAATTTTAAAGGAGACAGACGTGCAGAAGGAACAGCAGCAACAATAGCAGCCGCAGCCGTAGGAGCGTTTTTTAATTCGTGTAGCCATGGCCGAGGCTGAAAACCTCGGTCACGACAATTGTAGGATATCAACCCCCCGTATATTATCTAATTCGAGGATGATCATTTAACTTTGATTTTCCCACTCATCATATGTGGCTGCTGCTTTGATGCTCAGTACCAGTAGATGTATCAGTGTTTTGACAATTTATGTGCAACTTTTGTAAAAGTAGGTATATCAACATTATACAGACAAACAACTTTTCAGTGAGGGTCATCCAATATTACACATTCGATAGTATGTTGTATTAAAATACAGTGTAATTCTGGGGAACGACGACGTTTTGCTTTTTTCATAAGTCTTTTTTTCATAACAGAGATACAATGTTTTTAATGACACAGTGGCATAATTTTCCTGTCAGTGAAAAATCACAAAATTGCTCACCAAGTTCCCTTTTTTTGCCGTTCGACGACGACGGGCATGCGAGACAAAAATAAGCATCGTGAATGTACTCCCGGATGTATTGATTTGAGATAGAGCTAACACCTTCTAACTCCCGGACTTAACCTGCTTTAATTTAAGGGTAATAAAAAGCAGTTTTCTTCCATAATAACACTGCCGGACAGTGGGGGTTAGATTGTACACACACACACACACACACAGTGGCATAATTTTCCTGTCAAGCACTGTATTAGTGAACGGCTCTGAAGAGCCAAAACCTTCCTATGTAATAATTCATCGAAAATTTTCTCCTACAGAATGTGTTAAAACTAACCGGTTTGAGAATGGGTATAAAGAGTGGAATATTAATATTCCACTCTATATACCACAGAAAGCACCCGAACTAACTTATGGTGAAGAAAACCCGAGGTACACGAATGTTGATTAATTCGCCATTTCGGACACGGCGTGCCCATGTTTGGCGCATTGCTGGAGTGCAGCAAACATGGGTTAACAATTTAATACACAAAGTGGCAGTGGTTTCCGTGATTTGTGCTCGGGTAAATTCGAAGTGATAACGCAAACCTGCTATTATGATGACAATTTTAGGACTCTGCCCAGCATGTCCTTGAAGTGTGAAGTCAGTGCATACATGTATTTATATATGTATGTAGTGCATGTATTATGAATATCTATTATGGTATTTCCAGGTTTACTATAAGCATCAAGTAAGCCGACCTTAACAATAAGAATATTAAGGAGATTTAATTTATTTAATATTTTATATTTTTAATAATTAAAAACTAGTAATCCCACTGAATTTAACAAATTTGTTTAAAGCAATATTATATACGATATTGCAATTTAAACACATATTTATTATACTTATATGCACTGGCTTATTATTGATGTACCTAGTTGTTGAAAATTTACAAATGTGCGATGTAAAATATATTATATACAGTTCATCAACATTTGTAGATAAAAAAGGATTCTTCAGATTTTTTTAATGACAATACATATGTACTAACTTGTAGAATATTTCTAGAAGAGTTCTTATCGTCAGCGCCGACATAAAGCTCAACTAAAACAGGTTCACTGTATACTCCTCTTAGAGTTCCTATAAGTTGTTCAATACTAGTGTTCGGGGGTGTCCATTTTGGTTCGATTACCGGCCATCCTCCCAGGAGTTTAAGTACTTGTCGCAGCGGTTTTATTCCTATTTTCCGAATTTGCTCTAAAAATAAAATAATATTAGAAATAATGCAGTCGATTTTAAAAAGCTAAAGGTATATCCGTTTAACTATTCAAAAATATTTAGGATATGTGTTCCAGTTTGTTCCAGCATGTGTACAAAAAGGGTGCATCATTTTGAAAAATGTTTAACATTTCTTATAGGTTACCGTCCAGTTTGATTCATAACTCCAAAATATGAGTAAAAAATTAGTGTAAATAATGATGAAGATTGATGAAGCTTTAGAGGTTGCGCGAAAGGCTTGAAGTTTACATGAAGATTTTGATATATTCCTATGAGAAATTATTGAATTACACTTACATTCCTCTAATTTTGGATCTGGCAAACGCTGAAAAAATATATTATGTGGTTGATTAACAAGCCTGTTGTTGTTGTTGTTGTTGTTGTCTGGCACATATTGAACTATCAGTTTACCCTATTTGGCCAGCTTTCACATTTTTATCTTTCTTGAATTTCTATCGGACTAACCGTAACAACAATAGATTTGTTGGTCATTGTCATAACAACCACATTCTAGTTTTTTACAGCATGGGGACAACTAAAAACAAAGTTGAAGCGTTGAATTATTCCCATACACATTTCAAACTATTTGCGTGTCCTCTAAACCTTCAATAATCTTTACCATTTTTTTTGCACAGAATCATATTTTGGGGTTATGCATGGCCTATAAGTAATCTAACTTTCTTTTTTTAATGAAGCACCCTAGTGTATCAGTTATGACACAATCTCATGTGTACCAGAGGCGAACCAGCCGATGGCTGAAGGCTTGTTAATAAAGAGAGAAAAAAATGTGTACCGTAAAACGGGGTCACATTGATAATTTTTTAAAGTATATTCTAAATATTTTTTAAATTTTAAGTTTTTAAAACAAGTTCTGAGGATCCAGGAGTTAATTTGTTAGTTATTTGTTAACGGAAATTAAAGCATTTCCACTATTTTTAAGTTGTGTGACCGAACATCAGTATTTTGATTTGGGGTTACTTTGATAATGCTCGATAGAAAAAAAAAATCGTGAAACTCAAACTTTTCAGTTCTTTAAATATAAAACTTTGAATGAGTATATAATCAGAAAACAGCATAGGCAATAAAAATACAACATTGAATTTGTAATATTTGGCTATATCGGAAAAAGATTTCATAAATGATGGTTTGCTTTTTAAAACAGGCGAAAAATACGAAAATGGTTTTTAAATATGTTTGTAAAATATGTAACACATACTATATAAAAACTATATACGATATCAACGGAAATACCCTAAGCTACAATATGGAACCAATATTTCTAATTTAGAAAAAGCGCAGCGAGTAAATTTAATCTTTATATTATACTATCAAAGTTACCCGCATTATCAAAGATACCCCGTTTTACGGTACCAGTTTTACCCTATCTCATTGAAATTTCATGGTAAAGCTTTTTTTATATTAATAGTATAGCGGGATGTAAATTTGCGCCATCTTTCTATTTTACACCGTTTGCTATAAATCGGACTTGATGCTATTTGTATCTGAATTTTCTACTCAAATAAGACTGCATGAATTGCCTAACCTCTTTAGCGTTGAATAATTTGAAGTTACTGCAATCCCGAGCTCTAGGATCGATCCGAAGCAGGAGCATAGGACTGAATTAGATGCTGTCACTGTATATGTTTTAGTACGTCTCATTATATTATATTATGGTATATTATATTACATTGTACTATTTTATGTTATAGAACCGAGAAATGCTGTATGGGAAGACTTAAGACAGATAAATTTCTAAAATTTTCGCTTTTTGTTGATCAAATATTCAAGAATTGTTCGACTCAGTTCATAGGAAATTTAAGCAATTTTAGTATAGTGCCTTTAAGAAACCACAAAACGCGCATTTTACAAAAACAAATCCAACTTTATACCGACTTAGCTGATCCAGATAAAAACTATACAGATTAATCAATAAATGTGTGATTCACCAGCAGTCCAGGTTTTAGAAATCTATCTATCTACAGCGTTCAAAAAAAAATGACCAAATGGTTGTACGGGCAATTTTGATACAGCTGAACGAGCAATTTTGATTCAATGTTTACAATAATACCAATTAAAATTTTAAGTATAACATTTTATGTTTTAACATTTTAAGTTTTAATATTTTAAGTTTTAACATTTTAAGTTTTGACATTTTAAGTTTTAACATTTTAAGTTTTAACATTTTAAGTTTTAACATTTAAAGTTTTAAAATAACTTTATCGCTGTCTGCATGGAAAACATAATGAACATGATTTAAAACTATGTAGTTGTATTGTCAGTGCTTCCCGCCAACCATAATAAAACTGCATTGCATCCAGGAGGCCCATACTATAGAAAGCTGCCATCCGTACCTCTCACGCCAAAGTCACGAATTTAAATCTCACCCCGGACGAGTCACGAATGACACAAGTGCGTTAAAGTAACTATTATAAAAAAAATGATACTGCTTTAATTCAAACGTTGTAGTTTTAAGATAAATTGACTGGAGATTATGAAGGTTTATCATGCTCACTACAAAAACCACATTAAGAAAATATTGCTTGTTTTATAATGGTTTTATCAAAGCCGTAAGCCGCACAAAAGGTGATACAATAATAATAAAACATTAGTTTAGAGCAAATAGCTTGTATAATAATAAGGCTATGCTATAGACTGGAAAATGGTGTGCAATATTCTATAAACCAATCGGCTTTTGTTGAATATTTAATAAAACTAAATGGAACAAGGCTTGCTCTTATTAAACTTTAATAAAACTCACATAAAGTCGTAGGACATTTAGACTGTTTCTTGAGATGTCACATATATGATTTGCACCTTGATTAATCAAGTAACATTGCACGTTTTGTCAAGGTTTTAAAGAATTCTACGAGTCTAACTCATGGTCTATAGCACACTTATAAAGCCACAATTGTTACATGGGTTGTTTGGGTTTAGTGTGAGGGGCACGCAATACACAGGATCGGCTGAGTTAAATAGCAAGCAAAAGTACTTAATGTAATTAATGGATTTCAAAATTTTAATGAATGTAATGAAAACTATTTAGTCGAACTTAATGTAATTAAAAGTACTCAAAATGTAATTAATGGTACGGAAATGTAGTTAACGTACTATAATTACGAAAGTATGACTTAAAAAGTAATAAACGGACTGCAGGGTGTAATAAGAGTAGTAAAAGCTGTAATTAATAGAATTAATTTAATACAGTTCTGGCCTTTGTCGGAGTTAAAGGTTATTGCGTGCTCCTAGGTTTAATACGAAGTTTTCGATGTACAAGCAATTAACCTAAGCGTAGCTGTTTGAAAAGTTGCAACTTACGTAGATCCATGCAGCTTTTAAAGAACATTTTAGCTTTTATTGTTGCCTGGTTATCGTTTATATCAATCGATTCTTCTAAGACGCCTTTCAGTATCACTTGTTGCTGATCAGCAAGAACCTAAGTTAGATAATATACACTTATTCCGATACATCATCAATGATCGACTGAATTTATTTTACCAACCTCGAAAGTACTTATAGAACTTCTATCTTCCGGGATTACGTGTTTTTTATTCCAAGTTCCACATGCAAACTGGAAGAAATCGGTGCATGGATCCACCGTACGGTCCATAGCGGCCAACAGAGATGATGCTGGAAAAGTACTTAAATTTATTATTTCTTATTACTAAGATATTGTACTATACCTGTTCTTACGCATTCCTCAGATAAACAAATATTGTGTATTGTGCTTGGCTTGATGTTTGAATGATCAATCTTGCAATTAACTAGACCAGAAAACAAGTAACCGACTGCTAATCCAATAGTTAGTATTATGAAGAGTAGCAATATTATTTTAATTTTGCTACAACTGGTTCGTCCATCCCACGTTTGAACATGAGTTGAAATGTTTCCGCCATACTGATTTTGTATTGTGCTTTGTGTCATAGTGCCAGAAGTAAAATTTACTACAACCGATTTGATTTGCTTGCTGGCTATGACGTCATCACCACTCTCATTATTATGGTCTGTTTCTTCTATGGTTTCTGATGGTCTCACCAACTGTTGTGTACAGCTTTCGCTGAGACTACTAACGAATCCATTAATAGGATCATATTTTTTGGCATCACTTTCTCGTAACTCTGTTTTAAAGTTAGCGTCATTTGTTAAGCTACTGTCGGTTTTAAGACTCATTTTTCATGGAATAACTAACACAGTATTAACAAATTCGATAGATGCCAAAATCCAAGTTTTTATTATGCCTAAAAATAAAAACAAAAAAAAAACAAATTATTATTTTTTAATTAATCTTCCAGTCATCTGCCACTACGTTTAAACTCATTTGATAGCTACTTTTTATATAAAACATATATTTATTATAATTTCAAGCATTCAAAATGCAATTGTAACCACGTAAGTCATTTAGAAACTTAAATACTAATTTAATTTTATTTAAAATCTAAGCAGCCATTGATTAATCATAAAGATAAAATTGCATCAATACGATTTATCGATTACGTTTGAAGTTTTGGCTTTTTGCCTCTGATGTTAAAATCAGGTTTTAAGTAAACATTCGTCATTACGATTACATCGATTTTACCATTATCCAAGAATATTTAATACAAACATTATGTATGCTTAAAACTGTTTGTCAACAGATACTTTGATGTTTGGTAAGGGGCATGATCAATCCGATTCGTACCTTTCTCAAAATGGTCCTATGCTCGCTTTCTACTTTCTATATACAATTTTCACACTACCACACTACCAACTCTATACTTTCATCTCCTCATCTACCGTATAAAATGTCCACTTTAAGTTTGATATTTTAAGTTAAGCATCTCCAACTATGTAAATCGGTAATTTCACGCGTGAAGTAATATAAAAATGATTACTTACTTTGTTGTTGTTTGTTTGTGTGGATAATGTTTAACAAATAAATCGGCAATTGAAGTTATTGTTTTCATAAGTAGTTCCTACATACTTAGTTTTTTCTACCGAGCTCAGCTGTGCTAATCTCGGCAAAAAATGTTTGCTGAGATTCAGCTAAGCATTATCCGAGACTCAGCAATCAAATGTCACTTTTGCTGAGATCTAGTAGTTAGGTCGGTTAAGATTTAGGATTTTTTTAAAACTTCATTAGAGTGATTGTTAGCCGGAGTTCATCACTTTAAGATTTAGGGGTAATGCAATGACGGTGAAGATATCTATGAAAATCTATATGTGGAATGCTAAGTCTGTATTCAAAATTAAACTCATGTGATGCTAAATCTGCGTATGCACAATCTTAGGGATTGTCATAAACACATGTTTATACATATATAAAGCAAACCGAGCAGTACACGGAACTAAGATCTTGATTATTTTGTCGTGGGCATAGAGTATGATTGTACTTGACTTGCCACACAATTATTCTAATGTAAAAATGGTACAGGCATCGAAAGCTTTCATCTAATAACTGTGGGAGTGCATCTAGAACACTAAGTTAAGAGCACGCAATAAGCTTATATGCGATAAGCAATAAGCTTGAAATGTGATGAAGAAGAAGATTTGAATGCATCAATTAAGTACACTAAGGGAAATATTGTAGTATTTAGATGTGTCGCGTAACATATTCAACTTCCTCTAATAACATTCGTAAAGAAAATACATATCCTTAAACCTCAAACGCAATGAGCACGCAAGCAGGCAGCGGCAGTAGAATAGCTCAATTATCTGACTAAGCTCACCTGGCACAAAGAAAACTAATTCGTACCAAATCGGCGTCGATAAGATACCTTGTGGTCATTTTCAACTATTTTCAAACATGCTGCTACCGGTCCGCTTTCGTCCACATTGTTTTTGGATAACATATAATACACCACATTTTAACACGTTCAATATTCGTGCACGGATCGTTTGCACATATTACCTATATGGTCGAAATCAACATGTGCTGAACGAAATACTAGATAATCTCACTGACCAGTAACCTGTTTTTAAAGTTTTCTTGAGTCGATACGTATACCAGAAAAACAAACATATCTCAAGTGCAATCTCATGCTGCTTTTGATGTAGTCACCGGGAGTCTACAAAAATAGTAAATATACTCAAACACAAAACGAATATGTGCAGAATGCCGAAATTTGAGCGGTAAACGATATTTGTTATCACCGAACATTGATTGAGTACAGACACACGCGGAAGACTAGTAGCAAACACATATAATCATGAATAATTAATGCTCACGTTCTCTCAGAACATGCGCGCATCGAATGGTTCCACAAAGCTGACAGTAAATCGAAGGATGTTTTTCAACTACTCAAATATTCCATATAGAAGGCACATTCACTTTGTCCATCCACAGTTGATTCTTCACAACTGCACTAACAGCATCCAACATCCTTTAGTAATATGAATGTCGATAGATATAAAGATTATTTTCTTTATTAATACAATTTTTTCCGCCTTACGTCCTAGGTCACCTTCTTGCAGCAGCGTTCTTCCCAATACTATATAGTAATACTTCTCAATAATGGTAAGAGAGTAAATTTTGGCACAACATAATGGGTGAAATACGATTGCTCCTCTCACAGAGCACATGTTTCTTCTGTTTACATTCTCTCATGATGTATTAAGGTAGTGCACTTATTTTGGATCGATAATTTTGAAGTAATAGTAGATAAAGAATTATCACTTTATTTTCAAAACGTAATTGGAACGGTTTAATCCACAGGATAAGTGCATACATAAAAGAAAAAAACCTTCCATACCACCGTGTGCTACGTAGAAGTAATCTTGGTTTGATGTTCTAATAATGGTCTAATATAACTGTATTTAAAAGACACTGTCGGAATCCTTTTCTACATTCCATTTATTTTAGAATTTCTCAATTTCAACGGTAACAGGTGGCTACTCGCTACCCAGCACTAGTACTAGCAAAACCCCCTCAATACTGCCTCTGGGTCGGCATACGCGTTCTAACATCGCGGTCAAGAAAACAGTCGAATACCTAGCATACAACAAACTTCCACTTTATTGCAGGTACAGCTATCCCCACTGTGTCTACCTTATTATACCCGGAGGCGAACCAGCCCAAGGCTGAAAACCTCCTTAATAAAGAAAACCTAACCTTATTATACAAAAATCAGTATCGCTAAAATGCCGACCAAACGAAAGCTTACGCTCGCCCCTTTCATATGAGATTAGTTTCTAAATTATCTTGATTTTGAATAAGATTATTGGTTGTATGACGTTTCGATTGACTCACCCGCAGTTTGGGAGTTTCAGACCGGGCATCACTGAAATAATTTCCGCTTTCGACCTCCGGTAAGGAGTGGCGCATAAGTCATTTGCAGATGAAGAGATGAACCAGCCTCTGGCTGAAAGTCTCGCTAATAAAGATAACCTAACCTAACCTAAGTCGTTTGCAGGTTTGAAAAGAAACTGACTATTTCCTGTATTACGGGGACTGAGCAATGTAACGCTCGGTTGTTCGTACGTTGAGAAAAGTTACGCGTTACAAGGAAGTGGGAAGAAAATGGGAGTTATAAAGGTACCTGTAAATTAGAGTAATAAAGTGGGAATTTGTTGTGTGCTAAACAAGGAATCAAAAATATCTCCAAATGACAAAATGACAAGCGATCAACGAGCCGAAAGATAAGGCTATGTCAAAAATGGAAAGCAATAATGATCTAATCTTCTTCCTTTTTCTTCATGACAATCAAGTTCTGCAACACAGCTCGCTTGGATCGGTGAAAATCTCAAGATCTTAAACCGTTTTTGTGATATACCCGAAAAACTCATGACCAGTCTAGCACTCTTCTTTAAAAACTACAAGGTACAGCCCTATGGGGTTGTACGAAATGGTGACGTAGGACTACGTGGTCTTATATAATAAATCTTATTTGTTAACTGCAGCAGGAGCTTTTGTTTTGTGTAGGAATAGGAATTTGAGCGGGGTTCTCTCAGTTCTTTAGTATGACGCGCTTGACACGAAGAGCTACTGATTCCGATCAATAGCGGTGTGGCTTCTTCCTCCTTCTATGAATGCTCATGTGGGCTGCAGCTCGCTGCTTGCAGGCAGCCTTTCGTTGCGTACTGGAGAACACCTACCACCACTCACCACGCGGTGATTGAATAAACACCGTTTGGTGAGACCGGATGGAATTCAGCTTTGAAATCTGTGTTAGGGAAATTACTTGTCGCAGGCAATCGGTGATAATTTTAGTTATCATAGCAACAGTTGCACATTCGTCCAATTTAGTAACAATCCCTGTAAAAATCACGAATTTATCCCCAAAGACGAGTTCTCGTGTCAAGAAAACGGTTGATTATAATGAAAAATAAGATAAGTAGCAGTTAGTGCAAACTATCTGAAAAAAAATTGATATAATTTCACTCTATTAAAGAGTAAATCGAAAAAAAGGAAAAAAAAATCAAGAAAGAAAAATATGCTATTAACATAATTTTGGATCACTCAAATTATGCACCAGCCTAATATTGGATCAGGGAAGCAAAGGAGATGCGATGCTGGCGAGAACAAAACAACAGCGACACAACCTTCTACACTGAGGCGACAGCAGACTCGAGAGATGCAATTGGCAATATAACGATAGCACCGCTATCAAAGTGCCGCTTGTGGCAAATAGGTGGTGGTTAAAAAAATAGTGTCGTACAACGAGATCACTGCGTCTTGACGGCACAGCCTGCGACAGCACTCTTTGTATGCGTCTTCTGGCCCTTTGGCAACTAACGTGGAGGGCGCTGAGTGTCTCGCTCTATCAGTATACCGGGCGCCGTCTGTTCGTTGGCTCCAGTTTTCTTGGCATGGTTGTGTTACATGCAATCGCTAACGTTTCTGTCAAATCGTCTCCAGTCAGGTCCGAGGGACCGCTGTCTGTAACTCTGGTTGAAATGCTACATTGTCCATCTAGGAGGTGCGTGGTAACTGCATACAAAGATTCCGTTGATTTTGGTGATCACGAAACCTCTTTCAGGATGTCACCGAAAGAACCGCAAATTAACCGGGAAACAAAATATACCGGGAAAAATAGTAAAATAATCGGGAATTCTGTTTTATGTACTTTGCTCATCCTGTGTATGCAACTCATCCTGTGTATGCAAACTGATTTGTACTCATTAAAAAAATCCTAGGATACTTTGAAAACTCAAATATTTTGAAAATCGTGAAGTAGTTTTACCAATCAAGCCTATTTATAATGGTGTTCGAGTCGTATCGTGCGAGTCAGACTTGCCCTTTTGAAGAGTTTTCTTCCGAGACCGGGATCTTAACTCTTTTGCTGTAAGTATGAAATCTTAAAAATTGTTCGAAGTCGCAGAGTTTTAAATTTTTTGCGAAATCTGTGTCCAGAAACTTCAAATATTTTCAATTTCTGAATTAACTAGATAATTTCAATATTTCTAGATGATAGTTGTTCATTGGATATAAAGAGAATTTTCTTAAGAATTCCCTTAGAGTCCTCTGAAGATCCCTTTAGAGTTGTTTTCAGGATTAACGAATAATATTATGATTCTCTCTGGGATTTCCTTGATGTTTTTGACCAAAACAGCCTTCGTAATTATCTGCATACCACTTTAGGAATCCCCTTCAGGAAAATCTTCACATTTAATATACAATTCAAGGGTGATTTTCAAATAAAGGGGGAACACGAAATTATTGCGACACATTCAACAGGGCATAACTTTTTTACCATTGGGTAAAAATCAACCAAATTTTTCACACTTTCTCATTGATGTGTATTGTGTACATGCTGTCAAACTCGAAGTCGTGTTTTTCGATTCAACGAAAATGGAGGTGAACCAACGCGAGTTGAGAGAACAAATTCTTTCCAATACCTGGAATTTCCTGACCTGTCGCACCGGCAGTTGGGAAAAATGTTGAACATTCACCATTCAACCGTCTCCAGAGTGTTGAAGCGGTTCCAGGAACGGTTGACGTTGGACCACGGCAAAGGAGCTGGAAGAAAACCGGGACCGGAGAACAAAAAGACGGAGGGAAAGGTGAAGCGGATGATTAAAGCAAATCCCAACGTCTCAAGCCGGGATTTGGCTAAAAAGATCGGCATGTCGCAGAGCTACGTCCAGAATGCAAAGAAGAGAGCTGGACTACATACATACAAGGTACAGAACTTCCCAAACCGCGATGAGCGGCAACAATCGACGGCTAAAACTCGGGCACGGAAGCTCTTCGAGAAGATGCTGATAAAATATGGCTGCTGTGTGATGGACGACGAAACGTATATAAAAACCGATTTTAAGCAAATTCCGGGGTTGGAGTTTTTCACCGGCAAGAGCAAGTTCGATGTGGACGACAAATTTAAGAAGAAGAAAATGTCGAAGTTCACCTCCAAATATCTCATTTGGCAGGCCATCTGCTCTTGCGGACTGAGGAGTGAGCCTTTCGTGACAAAGGGCACAGTAAATGGCGAGATCTACAAATCTGAGTGCCTCGAGAAGCGCCTTTTGCCGTTCTTGCAGCAGCACGACGAAGCTCCGCTATTTTGGCCAGATTTGGCATCATGCCACTATTCTAAAAGTGTTCTGGAGTGGTATGAGGCCAATTCTGTCCATTTTGTTCCAAAGGACATGAATCCGCCAAACTGTCCGGAGCTGCGCCCGGTGGAGCAGTACTGGGCAATAATGAAGCGGGAACTTCGGAAGAGCAAGAAGACAGTCAAAGACGAGAAGGACATGTTAAGAAAATGGAAAAAAAAAACTGAGAAACTGGTACCGGATGACACTGTAAAGACTTTGATGGAGGGCATCAAGCGAAAATGCGTTCAATTTTACACTCAAGGCTCCATCGATTAACTTTTCTTTTGATTTTTGAAGTAAATATATGTATAAAACTACCCTAAAATTTTGGTTTGATTCTAAACATTATAAGAAAATTGGCTTGACATTTTCGGTGTCGCAATAATTTCGTGTTCGCCCTTTAGCTTTTTTCCTCATTTTTAAACAAAGATCGAAACGTCAATTTTTTGAAACTATTAGCTCGCTCACGTAATCTATCACCACCATCAGGTAGGGTAAAGTATATCCAACATTATGATGGTGTTAGTTTACGTGGGCGAGCTAAGAGTTTCGAAAAATTTACGTTTCAATCTTTACTTAAAAATGCAGATAAGGCTATTTTAAAATTCACTCATGAATCATCGCAATAATTTTCACGAAAATGCGTTTAAATTTTTCTCCATAATTAACCTGCAAAATTACCCCTTGGAAATTTACGCTTGGAATATTCTAACACCCAACCGACGGATGTAAGATTTGCTTACAATTATTTGGGATTCATGATCGCAGAATGTTAGTGGAGACCGCATGAACGGAGGATGAGATATACCGAGCTGCGGTCCAATGCAAGAAAATTGAAGACCGAAAGATGTGGAGTGTTTAAGTGAGAGAAACTAATCATGCTGAACATTGCATTAGGTCCTAAGTAACATTGATCGATTCTCTTCGTCGACTTTCTCTT